GCATACTACCTGACAAAACACATAAGGAGCTGATGTTGGTCTGAGTGGCAGAACCCTGAACTGGAACACACAACCCAATATGATACAGTGCTAGTGAAGAAAGGGAATTTTGAGTGGGAATAGCAGTATAGATGGCTCAATGTTATTGGTGGAGAGTAGTCACATGATATCTACAGGTTCAGATATGACGCAAATGTTATGTGGTATATAGACTGGTATGCTGATCTCTTAAATTATTTTAGGAATGCTTAGAGGACAGATGAAGATTGAGGAGGAGGAACTGTATCTTTTGTTATTTTTACTTGGAAATTAATATGTAAAGCGATAAAATGGCAATAAAGTGCATTTAAAATTTTAAAGAAATGTTTGGCTCAAAATGAACAGAAGAACAATACTTGTTTCTCTAAATGAAACATTAAGAAACTTTCTAACTGACCAGTTTTATCTTTCTGGTTCTTCACATTCAGAGAATGTACTGCTGTCATTTATTTCTATAAATGTGATTATCCTGAACAGTAACATCCTATACAACCCAAATTTCTAGTCATTTAATTTAACATACTGAAGTCAATAATGAAACAGCTTCTAATAATACCTAAACTTGATAAATAATATATAGATAAACATTTTAGGTTAGTTTAAATCTTGGCATGTATAAATATTCATTTAACACATACTGAACATTTAAACAGGAACTATAAAGTATTGATGTTAATTAACATGTTAAAGTAGACAAATCGTTAGAAGATATCATGATAATCACCACTTCAAGTTAGAAGATACTAACAGTTAATCCAGAAAGGCACTGGCTGAAAGTAGTGTTGGTTGTTGTTACACTGTACTATCATATTTGTGATGGTAGTTTTAGATGTTATCTACTAAAAACGTCTCTTGAATATGGTACTTTACCAACAGTTTATGTTTTTAATGCTATTCTGTCCTGGGTAGAAAATGTTTTTATAAATTTTAAACTTAGTTATATCTTTAGTATTTCTGTATTAATATTTGTGTTGATCATGTTTGAACATTAAAATATATTTAGATGTTCATCAAATTAAGTAATGTATGATATATTTATTATTACCTAATTTTTGACATCATTTATATCTACTTTAGATAAAAAGACCAGTGTGAACATCTGTAGTGGAAGTCAGTTTCCTGGTTCTGTTATAAAACTAGAAAATCATTTTACAGAAGATGTAAAATCCCAAAATAACAATATTGGTGGAGAAACAAAATTAACTGGAAATAACATTAAAGCATCTAACAAACATCAGTGTGATGATAAACTATACAGTTGTGTAAAAACATTTGATAACCTAGCACCACAAAAGAAGATGTATTCTGAAGAGAAACCGTATCAATGTGAAGTTTCTGGAAAACAGTTTGAGAGTAATAGTCACTTAAAAATGCATAAAAGAAAACACACTGGGGAGAAACAATATAGTTGCACAAATTGTGGAAAACAGTTTGATAGAAATGTTAACTTAAAAATACATCAAAGAATACACACTGGGGAGAAACCATATAGATGTACAGATTGTGGAAAACAATTTCGAGACAAGAGTACTTTAAAAATTCACAAAAGAATACACACTGGGGAGAAGCCTTACAGTTGTACAGTGTGTGGAAAAGAGTTTGTAGCAAATGGTCAGTTAAAAGTACACAAAAGAATACACACTGGGGAGAAACCTTACAGTTGTACAGTGTGTGGAAAAGAGTTTAGAGAAAAGGGTCAGTTAAAAGTACATGAAAGAATACACACTGGGGAGAAACCTTACAGTTGCACAGATTGTGGAAAACACTTTGGAAAAAAGAGTGATTTTAAAATACATGAAAGAATACATACTGGGGAGAAACCTTATAGTTGTACAGTGTGTGGAAAAGAGTTTAGAGAAAAGAGTCAGTTAAAAGTACATGAAAGAATACACACTGGGGAGAAACCTTACACTTGCACAGATTGTGGAAAACACTTTGGAAAAAAGAGTGATTTTAAAATGCATGAAAGAATACACACTGGGGAGAAACCTTATAGTTGTACAGTGTGTGGAAAAAACTTTGATAGAAATGTTAACTTAAAAATACACCAAAGAATACACACTGGGGAGAAACCTTATAGTTGCATAGATTGTGGAAAACAGTTTCGACAGAAGAGTGCTTTAAAAACACATGAAAGAATACACACTGGAGATAAACCTTACAGTTGTGCAGTGTGTGGAAAACAGTTTGAAACAAAAGGTCGTTTAAAAACACATGAAAGAATACACACTGGGGAGAAACCTTACAGTTGTACAGTGTGTGGAAAAGAGTTTGGAGCAAAGGGTCATTTAAAAGTACATGAAAGAATACACACTGGGGAGAAACCTTACAGTTGTACAGTGTGTGAAAAACAGTTTGGAACAAAGAGTCATTTAAAAGAACATGAAAGAATACACACTGGGGTGAAACCTTACAGTTGTACAGTGTGTGAAAAACAGTTTGGAACAAAGAGTCAATTAAAAAAACATGAT